GAGAATGCCATTTTGCCGAATGTATTCGGCAGAATGTTTTTTTGTCGAAGTGTCTTTTTGGCAGGTACAAGGTTTTAGGGCGAAATTGTGAGTGTCAGACAGCAACTTGCCTACAGGTGTTTTTTTTTTGCCGGCGTGGCAAATCATGTTGATGCTTCATATAAGTAAGAGCGGCCATGGGATTCCGGTGTTATGTCGTTCCGAATTTAAAGTTCTAGTAGTGGCAGAAATCAACCTTCAAAATACCAGGCGATACAGGGTAACCGACGCTATTGAGCAAACGTCGGTAAGCTTGCCAAAACTCAACGCTTTAAGATGTGCCCATGGTCACGGATGGTGACAATAGAATATTGACAGCTTTCCTGAACTGCGCTACCGTCGCCACAAACGCGGCTTGAAACGCTGAGTTTTGACAACACAACCAATGTTTCCTCATTAGCGTCGTTCAACCAGTGCCTGCTGGTATCTTGAAATCGATCATTGTCGGCCTGAGTACTCCAGGAACGTGATCAACACCTCCTGGTGTTCTGAAGCTTCGAGACACTCCATCGTGTGAACCACAGCCTGAGAATGCCTGTATGTTAAGATGTCGAACTTATCTACTGAATGCTGCGTTGTCAAAAGGGATTCACCCGAATGCCAACGTGTCGCGATGCCGTTTAGTCCAATACTGAATACCGAAGTGACATATAATCGACTACTAGGCTGGTGAAGTGTACTTTCCCCTAATATGTATTCGCGTGCTTATCAGCCTAAAAGCTCTTTCCTATACCTCTCAAGACCAAGATGCCTTGCAGCACAATGCTGCAAGGCATTTTGCTGCCTGCATACTGCTACTAATAAGCAAACAACATTTTGTTTATTAGTCGAGTTTTGATTAGCCGGATGATCTTTAGACAAATGCCTAATCGTGGAAATGTTGATAAGGGGTGGGAAGAGTCCTTTTAAAGGCATACTGGCTGTGATGGCTTAATAAGGGGTAGGAGGAGTCCTTTTGAATGTGTACTGGCTGTGATGGCGTAATAATGGGTAGGAGTTCTTTTGAAAGTGCACTGGCTGTGGTGGCTTAGTCATGCCGCCGCGTGCGGTCACTTACTTCTTCGGAAACAACCCGTCATCATTCACGTGGAGCCTAGTGCACCGGAAGGGAAATGTGATCTCTGATCACCATTATGGCAGTGTCCTTCTTAACTGGGTCGGGCCAACACAATGCTCCAGGCAATGTTATATCGCAGACTTACGCAGATCCCAAACGCCATAAGGCGGCGCAAATGCTATGCCTCCGTGAGTTGCGCAAAGACATTTGCTCCACTAATCTTCGTTGGATCGCTTTCGATGATATCAAACAAATGGAATATGGGGATTGGGAGGCTGCTGGACTTTCAGTGCCGGTCTGACGGGCCGTCTAGGCTCCTGCTTCCGACCACGCCGCACGAGAGGAGCTCAGATTTTTTTCCGGCGAGATGAAGTCCGGCCCGCTGCGCACGCTCTTGGTCGTGACGCTGCTCTTGGTCTGTGTCTGTGCAGTCTGCTCTGCTGCTCTGTCTGTATCTGTGCAGTCTGCTCTGCTGCTCTGTCTGTATCTGTGCAGTCTGCTCTGCTGTTCTGTCTGTGTCTGTGCAGTCTGCTGTGCTGCTCTGTTTGTATCTGCGCAGTCTGCTGTGCTGCTCTGTCTGTGTCTGTGCAGTCTGCTGTGCTGCTCTGTCTGTGTCTGTGCAGTCTGCTCTGCTGCTCTGTCTGTGTCTGTGCAGTCTGCTCTGCTGCTCTGTGTCTGTGCAGTCTGTGTCTGTGTCTGTGCAGTCTGCTCTGCTGCTCTTGGTCTGTGTCTGTGCAGTCTGCTCTGCTGCTCTTGGTCTGTGTCTGTGCAGTCTGCTCTGCTGCTCTTGGTCTGTGTCTGCGCAGTCTGCTCTGCTGCTCTGTCTGTGTCTGTGCAGTCTGCTCTGCTGCTCTGTCTGTGTCTGTGCAGTCTGCTCTGCCGCTCTGTCTGTGTCTGTGCAGTCTGCTGCGCCACTCTGTCTGTGCAGACGGTAACATCCAGCGCTGTAATTGAGAGGTGGTTGATGAGCCGCATATCTTACCACTTACCCCTGCGGAAGCCGAGAGTGACGCGTCTACCAAACGTCCGCGGTCATCCCTGCCCGGAAGCCGAGAGTGACCTTTCTACCAAACGCTCGCGATCATCCCTGCCCGGTAGTCGAGAGTGACGTGTCTACCAAACGCCCTCGATCATCCCTGCCCGGAAGCCGAGAGTGACGTGTCTACCAAACGCCCTCGATCATCCCTGCCCGGAAGCCGAGAGTGACGTGTCTACCAAACGCCCGCGATCATCCCCGCCCGGTAGCCGAGAGTGACATGTCTACCAACCGCCCGCGATCATCCCCGCCCGGTAGCCGAGAGTGACGTGTCTACCAAACGCCTGCGATCATCCATGCCCGGTAGCCGAGAGTGACGTGTCAACCAAACGCCCGCGATCATCCCTGCCCCGTAGCCGAGCGAGACTCCGGCATCGAAACGGGGACCGTGAACAGGTGCACCCCGCCCGCCCCACGGCCTCTGTCGTACTCCAAGGTAATGGCCACCCCGCCCGCCCCACGGCCTCTGTCGTACTCCAAAGTAATGGCTGAGTTTCAACACGCTTCCTTCCTTGTTTGCTGTGTTTATATGATGATATCCGATTGCTCGGCACATTTTTCACAGCCTCCGGCCCACGTGCCCACGTCTGCGGGGCACCGTACGGCAGGGACGACCAGACAGGTCCGGCCGTATCTATGTCGTTGTGGCGTGATTCGACTGAAGGCCATGCTCTTAAGCCACAGGAGCTATCGAGTCCGGCTGCTGATCTGTCCCTGTGCTGCTCTGTGTTTCATAATTGCCACGCTGGGTGCCCGCGTGCCAGTTTGCCAATATTCTATGTGTCGTGGGAAAGTGGTCTGCACAGGGAAACTGCCCAGACTGTCAGCCTCAATTTCAGCTATAAGCACTAAGACACAGATATCTGCTGACAGGGACAGATAAGCTCCTCCACTTTCAGTCGAACCTGAACACTATCGCGATCGTCTTGTGCAGGACGATTTCAACGCTATAGCTGTATAGTGCTTTTTATGATCGAATCTGGCTTGAAATCATATCTAATTTCAGGCCTTCGTCACAAACTTCTGCATACATGCCGTTACTTAGCAGTGCGGTTCTTTTCCCATCTTTCGCGGTCTGAACGAACTCACCTTTTTACAATAATTGGTTGTTAGTAAATAACTGTTTTGTAATGATTCGAATCTCCAAAGGGCAAGACCCCTTTCAGTAAAGAACAACTCCACCTTTAAAGTTACAGTACTATGATCACATAGAACACCGGGTTCGATTTCAATTTCGGTGGTTTTATGATATTTGGTAGCTGCGTAATTTTCCACCTCTCATTTTGAGTAATTTCACTGGTTGGTGGCTCGACGGCTAGTCTTTCTGCTCAGCGTAAAGCTACGGCTTGTGGTGACACAGCACAAGCTGGCTTGAAAGTCTGAAGCAGACAACCTGATCTGAAAACGATGTTCTGAATCAATAAATATGCAAAGCGTGTGGACATAGGTGGTGTGAATAAAATTTCATGGTAGCGATTCGAGAACATATGTCTCCCATGGTCCAGCATGTACAAAACATCCGAGTGAGCTTTGGTGGACGGACACTCAACCTGTAAAGCTCTCCCGTGTTCCCAAACCGACGCGGCCAGACGTACTGACACCAAGCTGCTTTCCCCATGCCACGGAGTGGTGCAGAGTCCCAGGCTCCTGCATTCCCCAGCATATAACGGCGCTACACCGAGGCCAGTAGCCACTCAGTTTCAACCACCAGTAGGGCAAAGGGCACATTCTCCATAGAGTCGCTGTGTCTTCAGCTATCCCCGACAGCTCTGCTATCCCAGTTTGACCGTTTTTAAGCTTGATTACTTATGGATAAAAAATTGCGGTACTAATACAGAAATCCGGTTAGTGGTGGACCTGGTCGCACTACCCACGCCCGACCAGGCGCACAAGCTGGTTTGGTCGTAGGTGAAGCTACAAGCCTATGCTGATCTCCAGCCAATAAACAGCTGGGTAAGACAGCATTAACCTCCGCCAACAGCCCGGTTGCCTCTTCCTTACTCTCTCTCTCTCTCTCTCTCTCTCTCTCTCTCTCTCTCTCTCTCTCTCTCTCTCTCTCTCTCTCTCTCTCTCTCTCTCTCTCTCTCTCTCTCTCCTCTCCTCTTGGGTGTGCACGACGTTCTTAAGCAGATACCGTGTTTGATCCAAGAAGGATCAATACAGGTTGCTCGCCTCATTTGAAACTGCAAACAAGGATTGGCTAAGATCGGTTCTTACACTACCCACGACTACAGTCAGTCAAGACGGAACACGACTGGTTATGACTAACACTTCCTCGAATGACCTCAATGGCGTAAGATGACCTGTTTGAATTTCCTTGGTTTTGTGCGATTGATGTTTGTGCCACCGTTATGGCATATAGTGATGTAAGCCCGCATGAAGACCGGCGCAAGAAGCAGCTTGTGCAGAAAACCTGGTCCAACGAAAAAATATGTGATCCGAATTCATAGGGCTCTGATCGTAACCTCGCACAACAAAATCACCCAACTAAGCAGGCCGTACCATAGGCCGTCAAGTGCCGCGTTGTTGGTCTGTCTAGCCGATTCCTTTAAGCAATACTGCCGCGAAGGCTCGCACCCGCGCCAGCTCAGGTCGGCGCTGAGATAAGCTTGCGCCGCGCCGGACTGGCCGCACCCCGCCACAGGCTCGTCGGGACCGCCTCCGCACCTGGCCAATGAGCGGGCGCCGGTCTCGTGATGTTTGAACAGCGTCTCGCCTATCTGCCCAGTCGGCAGAGGGCCGTTCGGGAGCGAGCAAGAGCTAGAATCGGGCGGGCGGCGTGGCAACTGAAAGGTGAACCAGGGACGACAGACGTCGGGGGAGGCCAGCCGGGGACGAAAGACGTCGGGAGAGGTCAGCCGGGGACGACAGACGTCGGGGGAGGTCAGCCAGGGACGACAGACGTCGGGGGAGGCCAGCCGGGGACGACAGGCGTTGGGAGAGGTCGGCCAGGGACGACAGACATCAGGAAAGGTCAGCCAGGGACGACAGACGTCGAGGGAGGTCAGCCAGGGACGACAGGCGTTGGGAGAGGCCAGCCGGGGACGACAGACGTCGAGGGAGGTCAGCCAGGGACGACAGACGTTAGAAGAGGTCAGCCAGGGACGACAGACGTCGGGGGAAGTCAGCCAGGGACGACAGACGTCGGGAGAGGTCAGCCAGGGACGACAGACGTCGGGAGAGGTCAGTCAGGGACGACGGACGTCAGGAGAGGTCATCCTTCCGTTCTCCGTGCGATGGATGGCTCTGTTGCGAGGTCACAGGCGTGGTGGGCTGCTCCCAGCCGAATTCCTCCTAGAAAAATGTTTTCTACATTTGCACTCGCTTCAGTGTTGATAGACGTCTGTAAGTGCACCAGATACAATCTGTCATCTTGCCTGACCTGACTTGACTGTCATCTTGTCAGCTACGGACCTCTGAAACTCTTAGCCGCTGCCTCTCATCGCCGATCAAGCCACAATTGCGACGCGTGGAATGCGTGCAGCTAACAGGCTCGACCGCTGGACAGGCGGAGCTGGGAGAGCGTCTCGGGACTCCGCAGAGTCGCCTGGAGTCCGTGGAGGCAGCCGTCATGGCGGGATTCGCGCATCTTACCCCGGAGAGTCCCCTGTTCCGGGCGTACCTCTTCTGGTCGGCCCTGCTCGTCGTCAAGACAACCACGATGTCCTTTCTCACCTCCAGACATCGCAGAGCAAAGGGCGTGAGTTGTGAAAAGAAGGTAGTAGAAAAACTCTAGAAAAAAGTGAATGCAAACGCCAACAAAACAATACCTACGTAGAAAACTGCGCTGCCTGGCTGTCTGCTGAGGAGCACTGAAGGTTGTCAGGAGGTGGCATTAGTTTGATTGTTTTACCGTGCAAAGTGACATGATTTTCATAACGATGGATGGATATGGAAATGGTAGTATTACAACCATGGATGAGTGTATATATATACATGCATATATGTATGCATATATGTATATATATATATATATATATATATATATATATATATATATATATATAATATATATATATATATGTGTGTGTGTGTGTGTGTGTGTGTGTGTGTGTGTGTGTGTGTGTGTGTGTGTGTGGATATGTACATACTATGTAACGATATTATCTATATCCTACATCATGCGTGCGCTTGATATCTCAGCTGGGTGAATTAAGTTTACTGCTCCAAGGAACACACAGCTGATGAAATATCTCATGTCCATCAGCTGGCCGTGCAGAAAACCCCAGCTCCACCGAAATTCGACCGAGTTGCCAGCACCATCCGAGGCGATAGCCATCGATATGGCAGCGCTTTGGCTTACACCCGCCCAATGACCTTGATTTTACCGTGATTGTCATGCATCGCCCTGGCAGGTCTGCTCCAACCTGTGACTGTCACGTGTGGCCCTGGCAGGTCTGCTTCCACCCGTGACTGTCACGTGTGGCCCTGGCAGGTCTGCTCCTACCCGTGACTGTCACGTGTCGCCCTGGCAGGTCTGCTCCCACCCGTGACTGTCACGTGTGGCCCTGGCAGGTCTGCTCCTACCCGTGACTATCACGTGACGCCCATGGCAGGTCTGCTCCCACCCGTGACTGTCACGTGACGCCTGGCAGATCATGCTCCCACCCGTGACTGTCACGTGACGCCCTGGCAGGTCTGCTCCTACCCGTGACCGTCACGTGTGGCCCTGGGCAGGTCTGCTCCAACCCCGTGACGGTCACGTGTGGCCCTGGCAGGTCTGCTCCAACCTGTGACTGTCACGTGTGGCCCTGGCAGGTCTCTCCCAACCCGTGACTGTCACGTGTCGGCCCTGGCAGGTCTGCTCCCTACCCGTGACTGTCACGGTGTGGCCCTGGCAGGTCTGCCCCCAACCCGTGACTGTCACGTGTCACCCTGGCAGGATCCTGCGCACCACCCGTGACTGTCACGTGTCGGCCCTGGCAGGTCTGCTCCAACCCGGAGGACGCTAAGAGCAGAGGCGCAAAGATAATCTTCGACGACCCGGACGTGGAGCGCGTGCGCCGCGCCCACCGCAACGACCTGGAGAACATCTTGCCGTTCTTGATCCTGTGCCCGATCTACCTGGCCACCGGGGCCGACCGTTCTGGGTGGCCACCAACGTCATCCGCACGTTCGGCATCGCCCGGATCGCCCACACGTGCTCTACCTGAATGAGGTACGGCTGGTGGAGTGCTCATCAGGGGAGATGGACCGTAATTCTACCGTTGTGAACTACGGCTGCGCAGCTCAAGCCAGGCCAGGAATAGAAGGAACATTGTTTCCACCCCAATGCTTCACACGTTATCGTGGGTGCAAGTCAAAAGTGAGTCACTGCTGCGGGTTTGCTGTTGATTCGTATTGGTCGGACCAGGGGCGGCACCATCGGGGAGGGGGGGGGGGGGCAGGGGGGAGCGGGGGGGGGGGAGGAAGCGTCCCCCTCTATCGTCGGATCCGGTGGGGTGGGGGGCCATCCCTGACATAACAATCTTCTTGGAGGAGAGGGTATATTCTTTACACCAATTTTCACTACGGAGCCCAGCCCTTATTCTAATTTTTACAAAACAAGCTCCCTTACATCAGTCGTGTTATATTGCTACAAATGCTAGTGCGATGCTACCACGACTTCAAAAAACCGTTCGGCAGTGTTCCCCTATACTGACCGAGTGCGATATACTCTCGATATGCGATATCTCGATATCGATATATGCGATACCCTCCGTGCTTGGAGTTCAAAATCAGTTTGGAGGTGATTAATGCATCATATTCCTGCAACATCAAAATATACAACATTTTGAAAAATAACGACGAAAACATACTTTTTTCAAGAAACCTGATATTCCGAATAATTTGCATGGGCTGATTTTGGGTTCAGAGTATCTGCTAAGCATGGCTTGTTGGGTGTGCTTTCAGCCCACCACCCAAGTTGCGCCGTCCAATTCAACCGGTTATTTTGTCTCCGCCTTTTCGCCAGGCTGGGGTGCAGAGAGTTTCACGTCCATCACGAAGCTGCGGCACGCTGTCCGGGCCTAGGTCAACTCTCGTTACGCTGTCCGGGCCTAGGTCAACCTCGCTACGCTGTCCGGGCCTAGGTCAACTCTCGTTACGCTATCCGGGCCTAGGTCAACTCTCATTACGCTGTCCGGGCCTAGGTCAACTCTCGTTACGCTGTCCGGGCCTAGGTCAACTCTCGTTACGCTGTCCGGGCTTAGGTCAACTCCCGTTAGTCAGTTGCCAGCTTAACTCTCCATTCCAGTCGGTCCGAACAATACGCCCTCTTTAGGACTTGTTTACCCAGCGCCACTGGATTACGAGTCCACCATAACTCCCTCAGACCACGGAGACGGCTTTGAGGAATTTCGAGACGCTAGTTGGCTTGGAGGGCGCAGCCAGAGGTGGCGCTACGGGGGGAGGAGGGGAGGGGGGGGGGGGGGTCGTCCCCACTATCGGCGGATAGGAAGAGGGCTGTCTTCCCTATCCTAACAAGCTTCTTGCAGAAGGAAGTGTAGCCTTCACACATATTTTTATTACGTAAGCCTATTTCCATTTCTAGCATAACGAATCTCCCTCACATCAGAAGTATGACATAGTTACGAATGCTAGTACGATGCTACCAGAAGTCAAAAAAACCGCTCGGCGATAGTCTCGTATTCTAACCGAACACATTCACATGCACACATGATATCAAATTGTAGTATACGTACTATAAAGCAATTTTCCTAATATCCCAGGTGCAGCTGCTGTTTTTGAACGCTTATGTCAATGGCCATCACCTTGTTTTACCACCACTTCCTCTGTCGTGATTTTGCAGCAGCCTTAGACCATAAATGGATATAACCCTGCATTTTTACGGATCTTTTCCGTGCATTCCGTGCCTCGAAGCATTTTGCATTTGAGCGCCTTTCATGGCAGCATCATCATCAAGCATTTCATCTACCCATTACTGGATTGGAATGCCAACCCAACGGCAAGTTTATGAATTGGTCTGTTATATTTTAATGCCGCAGCACAACGATGCTATGATGCTTTTGAAAATCGCTTTTCGACGGCTTTAGTGGGATAAAGGTTCGTTTTGGAATGAAGTATAGGTCTGAGTCAGGTTTGTCCGGGGACGAAAGTCCATTTTCCTAATGTTTCCGGGGCTAAAGAAAGCAAAAAAGGAAAACCGCTGAAGCGGATCGCCGCGAAACTTTTTTGTGAACTCTTAACGTATTGTCTTGCGCTCGAGAAATCTGAAGCGCTAAGTGACCGGGCCGTTGAGATCTGGACCATTGCCAATTTATCACAGTCACAATGTGAGGTCAAATAATTATAAGTGATGTAATGTGAGGCACAGCGCAAAGGAGCCGACCCCGGTAATCATCGAACTCCATTGTCTCCTCTCGTCTCCTTATGGCTGCCCGCCAGCCCAGCCACAGCTGAGTGAGGTTTCAGCGCGACTGGGCTGAAAAATTACTTCGCTTAGTGATGGCGCAAATAAGATCTACGCAACAGCAATGCGCCGCCCTCACCGCCTCCGCCCGGATCGAGTGGATCTTGAGCATGCCGCAATCGCTTTTGCCAATCCAAACTCATTACGCCAGAAAACGTTGGCTGTGTTTAGGGCTGCACCACGAACGGTGTCGCTGCAGACCTGTAAGAATTATGTGAGCTTTCTGATCCGCAAGCAGCGTGTTGTTGGGGTGCCTTTAATGCCACCATCATAATTTGCCAGATTTAGTCTTTTGTTATATTTTCATAAGCAACTAAAACGACGTTTGGAATCGGGTGTCCACGCCAGTGTAGCTGCGGGGTAAAGATAACTGGAACATCACTTTGCAAAGCTTTTTCGGCAGTACGAAATAACTTTTCCACGTTTATACGCCGATGTATTATATGGCCAATCGTCTAAATGATAATATCCACCGCGCTGAAGAGAGGCTGAGAAGCGGAAGCACTTGAATAAACTGCAAGTAGTGGTCATTTAAGAAAGCGTCACCTTTTAAACACATGGTTTCTCACTCCATCTCTATTCAAGTGTCGTGATGGTTTCATGAGCTCGCCTCCACCCCCGCTCTCAAAAACTGGTGGCGTCGCCCCGTGGGTCGGACGGCGTTTGTCCGGTGTGTGCGTTCTAAGCATGACACCTTCGCATCAAAGTTTAACACAAGCTGCGGCTTTTAATTCCTTCAGAATGGTCTTGACCTCTTGCATTAGTGTCAATATTCTCCTGCAATAACTAAAAGAAGGAAAACCCCAAAGAGCATCACACACATACCAGTGTTTTCAGAAAATCAAGTCTTCTTATGATCCCCATGAAGTATCTCTCAAGGTCAGTGTCATGTAGCGTGTCACGAGTGCGGCTCTGTCCTGTTCCAGGTGCCTGGTGTCCGAGGGCTGGCGTTCATAGTCGGGGTGGCTGCTACTCTATTCATGGCGGGCAGCACCATCATGTACGCCTGCTGAGGCCTTAGGCGGCGTCACCTGCGCCCCCTCCCCTCTCCCGTCACCAGCGGCCGCACAGGTCGTGACCTCTGCCCTGATCGCGGGTCATCTGATCCCTGGGCGATGGAAAACACCCTCCGACAAGAGCGTCCTTTACACGATATAACACAATGCATGGCGGGCATCTCGCTGAAACCCGTTTCAATGCACTAGCGGTGGTGGTGCAGCTTAGCTGTACCCTAAACAGGCTGGCCAACCCCGTCACGTATGTAAACATGGCTCAGCGTGTCACTAAAACGGACCATCTCAGGGTGCTGTATGCAATATATCCGCCTTGTCTGCTCGTGTGCTTTTCCTGGATGTTCCCGATTGTGTCTGAATAGCTGGTTCCATATTAAACACAGCACGCGCGACGCCAGAACTGTAGGCCGGCCCACATTGTTCAACATTTTATCGCAGTATAGTTACGAAATAATTATAGTGCAGTAAGGCTTTGCTTCAGCAGCGGAGTCAGTTCGCTGAATTTTGCGCTTGCTGCGCATTTGATGCTGACATCTTCATACGCTTGTTATCACATCTCTGCTCGCTGAGTTATTCGGGAATAAGGCGGTTACAAAACAGTGTATACAAACAGATCCCACATGTCTCGCTGCGCGAAGAGGTGTCGGGGTTGGCATAAGCGCTGCCGCCACACCCCAAGTCGCGTTGACTGCCGTTTCAACAATAGTAAGTGGACGCCACTGGAAGGGTATCTACAAGACGCTATTGTTTCTCAGTTCCAACGATGTGGTGTCTCACGATTCTCCCGTAGTCAGCATCGGAGTTCGCAACTCCTACTGTTATAAATTATCCACGGAGTGGTCGCAGCAGCGTCCCTAAGGGTGAGAGGGCCGCAATATGCTCTACAGGCGACTCTCTCCATGCATCATCACGGGTTCGCTCGTGTTACATCACGGCTGATGTTAATCTTACGAAAAGAGACCGCCTGCACCTCCTCCGCCATACTCCTCGTTCCATTCACGTTCTGGCGTCCATGGCCCTCTGCATTCCATCGCTGATTGGCTGGTTGGCCCTGATTTGATTTTTGATTTCGCGGCCCTGATTGGCTGAGTGTCATGGATGCCTTTGTCACGTCATGGCAGCCCACTTCACTGCCATGCCCTTAGGCATGTCAGTCCGGTGACCAATCAGCGCCGAGGACAGCTGTTTGCCGTTGCGTTGCAAACCTCGCTTATTGGAAGCAACAGAGGGCAGTGTGCTGGCACGTATAACGCATTCATAGATATAAAGGACTAGATAGGTTACAGCTGTCCGCCGGTACGCGAAACCCGCCGCCATCCTGATAAATACATTGAGCCGTCTGTACGGGTTACTTGGTACGTTGGAGGGGCCGACATTCGGTGTTGGTAGCAAATGCTTCGTTGTTTTGTGGCTTTCGCTGGATATATTGCGTGGTAGCATGGCCTCTGCAAGCTTCAGGCATACCCAATCGGCCATAGATTCGTGTTTTTTCATGTCATTGTTACTGGTGGTAGCGGTGTCAGTCGGAGGCCCCAATCAGGTCGCATGGCTCGCTGTCAAGGCAACATTTATAGTACGGTTCGGGTCAGTGCTCTCCGGGCTTTTAATTTGATGTCTTTTTCAATTTTTCAACTGAATTGTCTGAATTCTCGTACCTAGCGTTACCATATATATATATATATATATATATATATATATATATATGCATATGTGTATGCAAGTGGTCAGTCACACATAATTTACATTGCCTGGCGCTTGGACTCCGCAACAAACAGTATATTCAATACAGTGTCAAAATTCTGGTATTGTTTTGTTGTCTGTTCACAGTAGCAGTAGTGGCGGCTGCACATTTCGCTAATGAGTTTTGGCCAGTGGACTTCCAAGAGCTTATGGCAGGTGCCTGTTTGTACATGGGTTTAGTCGTGGTATTCCTATGATTAATGGTATTGCGCAAAACTTTGTGAGAGCAACTAAGTGTTTGTAAATTAGGTGTGTTTTTTGCACTTTTCAGCTTGACTGACAGAAGACAACTGCCATTTCAAAAGGAAATCTGGTCCTCTAAGTACTGATTACTCCCTGGAATCAGAAACTGATCCCGATGGCATGAAGGCTGTATTTAGCTCGGACCATTCACCCGCACTGCTACCTTTCACCATCTAGATAGGTTACCATTCTACACATTACACAGCCCCCCCCCCCCCTTTATCCATTGGCAAGACAAGCTTGACACTTCCCAGAAAACAGTTATGGATCCTTTTAATCTCACGCATGGTTAGAACTAAAACCTTGAGGAAAAATTTACTGTTTTCCTTAGTTGCCATTTCGACATTGCTTGCTTGTTATAGCATTCCTCTAAATTCTCATGGTGGACTTAGAATTGCAAGGGAAATGTGCCATGCTTCCAGTGCCTTTTTACATCAGTTGAACATTTCGTTCGCTTAGATCATTTGAACATGAATGTTTCACTTGTGATTTTTTGGCAACTAGGGCTACCCTCAGGCCTTTTTTCAACAATTTTAACATCAGTCCTGGATACATATTTAAACCACCTGGAGGGCAATTCAGCCAACCAGGTTTTAGCTTATTTCGCTGCACTTTGGTACGCATGAAATGGATAGAAATCTTAGGCAGCATCCAGTAAAGCTACTGTTCTGGTGTTTCATGTAACACTACCTGCTTTCAGCCACCAACATTGGTGTGCACAACATAAAGTGGCAAAACTGTAAAAATGAGTAACAAACGTTGCCTTGGCTTGCTGGCTCACAATCACTTTACGACACGTATGGAACAGGCAGCACCGAGGCGCTCGATGTACCGGGCGATCATGACCGCCGACCGCGGCTGCTCTCCGCGGTCACCAATGTCATTTGCTATGTTGCCGTATTCGTCGTCCGAAGGGCACTGGACGGAGCAGGCCGCGCCGCCTGCCGAGAAGCGCTGGCGAGCCGTCGGGGTCGGAGGACCCCACATTCCACACGACGTCGCAGTCTGTGGCTGGCCAGCAGCGCTGGGCTGATAAATCCCTCCGCAGGAGTCGTCAAGAGGTGGTCCTGAGTGCTGAGGAGGAGCTCCGTCGCTTCGTTGTGTAGCTAGACGCAGCTTACCGTGCAGTGCCCTGGCGGATGCCGGAGAGTGCATGTGCCGCATACCGATGGTACCGATGCGGTAATGTGCCCCATCGGCACCTATGACGTTTGAGATCCCGGCCGTCACCTCCTGGAAACTCCGTGCGGTTTGGAAAACCACCACACCGCCACAAAAGCCTCTAAATCATTGCTGTTTAGAAGACATTAGGCAAGCTGTAGGCGACGGTATTCTGCCTTCATTTGCCAGTTGGCGTAACCAGCATATATCCTTTCCTACAGCGCTCATCTCTCCGATCGTCGGGTTCGTCAGGCCTACTCCCTACTTTCTTTATAGGCTTCTGTTACACGTAATCTGGGTTCTCGTAGGAAAAAGTGTCTGTGTCTTGATGAGCAGTGAAGAAGCATGCAAATCTGTACGCGACGTTTGATCAATGTCTTGTGCCAGTCAGCCTTATAACTGTTCGTAATTCAGCAGTTTTAACGCCAGATCGCAGAAGCAGTGCGCACGAATCCCAGGCATAATTCTCGGAAGACGTTCGGGGCGGCTTATGACGGTCCAGTCGACCGGTCTGGTCCAGTTGGTCTGACATATTGTCCCTGTTATTGCTGTGAAAATTGTTGTGTAAATAGCTAACCGGTCTTGAGTGCCCGCAAGTGTTCATCCCATCTGTTAGAGACTGGCCAACCAGTCCCTGACCTTGCCGGATGTCTGTTCGGGCGCCGCCTATATGTGGGCGTGGCAGGCACTCGTGCCCTTCGCCTTCTGTGAAGGCCGTGGAAGTGGCGAAGGCAGCGGTAGGCGACATCGCGCCCCGCGCCATGCAGACTAGGCAGCGACTCGTACGTCGGCGCCACAGACACGGACGCCGGCAGCATCACCGCGGCACCAGGTGTGCCGACGTCCACCCCACGGCAGCACCAGATATTACGCCCCTGGACGCCCACCACAGAACCCGGCACAACGGCGGGTGAACCCTACGGCACTTGACCCACGAATGGCAGGCAGAGCGGCAGTCCGCCGGTGCTTGGCGTGAGCGCGACGGAACCATCCGGGCCGGCGGCAGGGCCGCGGCTCTGTTCTAGGGCCTTGGGCCGCGGTGGTCGTCATCAGGGGTGGGCCCACACTCCACAGGCTGCCCGAACGGATGTCGCCCGTACACATCGGATGCGACCGCACCAAACCCCGCGGACTCTAGAGTGCAAGGCAGACGGGAAGACAGCGGCCCCACCACTGCCCGGCGTGAGCACGGCGGACCGTCCGCGCAGGCAGCATTCGTGGAGGTCGGCAGTGGGGATTCCCCCACGGGTAACTCATTGAACAGCTAAATACAAGATGTTGATGTTTCAGGATTGTTGGCATACGGCTTTATCTCGTAAAGACCTTCAAAATCGGTTCTAGCTTGACTTTGTGCTTCCATGACCTTACACAACAGCTTCCTCGCCCCATGCGTCGCAAAAGCTCCGTCAGCGCGAGTCTATGTTTTTTGTATTTACCAGTAGAGCGGCCGGCTTTGCGCACCAGCGAGCGAACCACTCCATTCACCTGTCATATCTAGCCTGTACATCTATGGCCGCGTCCCACGCGAGGTTTGCTGCAGTCCGTTCCAGCACGCGGAAGGGTGGCGAGGTAGCCCTGCTGGACATTCAGTGCCGGGCCAGGTCCCTGCTGCCGAACACGCCGCACGAGAGGAACACGGATTCCGCTCGGCGAGATGAAGTCCGGCACGCTGCTTTCACTGCTGGTCGTGACGCTGGTCTTGGTGAGTATCTGCGGCAGATAGTGTCCAGTCCCAGAACCGGAAAGTAGTCGGTAAGGGGTGCGACCTGTAGAGCACCCTTGCCGGAGTGCCAGCTGCGGCTAGTGCACTAAACGCACGCCGCTCCTCTTCATTCACCGATCAGCACATCTGCGGCATCGAAACGGGACGTTACCCTCAAGCCGGTGCACTCTGCCCAAACCGCCTCTTTTTTCCTCCTGTCGTACATTTTATCAGGCCCTCTCCACGCCCATCGGGCCACTCCAACCTCTGAGGTACGGGGTTCGATTGCCCGTGATGCCTGCCAAGGTGAGATACGAGCGACACCATACAGCCTCTGAAGCTGCGTGCGTCGCGAAGCCCCGGGTCCCACATTCTCGCACCATACCGTAAGCATCATGTATGCATTACTGGTGTATCAGTGGGACTCGTCCCACCTCACTTTGGCATCGAGGAGAGGTGCAAAGTCTTGCGGTCCT